GTGGTCCCCCGTGGGGTGGCTGGGTCCTGCGTGGGGCAGCTAGACGCATGCAGCTGCAGGAAAGGAGCTGGAGGCTGCCTACCGAAACCCTCCCGGGCTGGCAGGGCTGAAGTGTCACCTGTGGGCTGGAAGGGCAAGTGCCGGGGAGGCCATCCCGCCGGCGGGCGAGGGGCCGGGAGCTGCTCCCGGGGCTGCTGCCATGCTGTTACCGTGTCCCGGGCAGCACCGTGCCAGTGCTGGGAAGCAGCAGTTCACGTCCCCTGATGCAGGTGTCTCTCCTGGACGCCACTGTTTTTCTCCCCTAGCAGCTCTGGTCCTCTCTGCCAAGGCGAGCATGCTGCCCCTTGCCTGCCTTTTGCCGTGTGCCTCCTCGGTGGCATCGCTGGGCAGTGCCCTGCGGGCCCCTGTCCCCGCTGTTCCTCCTCTGTTCCATGGCAGAGGCCATTGGGGCGCGGAGCCGTTAGTGCCACTCAGGGGTGTGCTGTGGATGTGGGGCTTGTTTGGTTTGGCTTTTTTTTTTTTTTTTTTTTTTTTTTTTTTTTCTTTTTTTTTTTTTTTTTTTTTTCCCTTTCTTTCCAGGAAGCACTTAGTGTTCTTGTATTTCTGGCTCCCTTTGCCACTTGAGATTTGGCAAAGACGCCAACCAAAAGTGGTTCCTAAATGTCAAACAGGACAAAATGTTTCAAAACGCCTTTGGACTGAGGCTGAAATGTCAGTGCTTTCTAGCCGGTGGCTTTATGGATCCGCGATGGCTCCTAGCACTTGCGGGCAGCAGCAGCTGGCACACAGGCTGCAGCCATCCTGGGATGCAGCGTTGCTGCTGTGAAACACAGACTGTTGGTCTTGGGAGTTGACCTCAGTGCTCCAGAGGCCTGAAGGCCTGGGAGCCGAGCAGAAAGGTCTCCCTGGCGTGAGCCCCACGTACAGGTGAGGCTGGGTCCCCTTGAGGGGATGTGTGCTCCCAAATGTTTGCCTTTTCTATGTGCATCATGGCTGTGGAAAGAGCGGGAGAGCTGGATTGTAGAATGCCCAAACAGGAGATGCTGGTGGAAAGGGGCTTTGAGAAGTTCCTCCCCGCTAGCAGAGGCGGAGGATGGCACCTGTCTTTTGTATGTGAGCGTGGCTAGGGCTTGCCCATAGGGTGCTAGGGTGCACACGTGCTCTGCAGCTGACCTCTCTGGGGCTCTGAGGGAGCAGAGAGGCTGCTTGCGCAGGTCTCGGGGAGTGAGGTGCCCTTCCTGTGGGTTGCACTGGGAGTGGAAAGAAGCAAAGGCAAAACCAGGGAAGGATAGAAAGGCAGGATAGCAGCTCCTCTTTCTTCTGAGCACCTGCGTGTGGTGCAGCACCTCTGACCACTGCTGCATGCCATTGAGGAGGAGGAGGAGGCTGCTCCCTGTGATGGTGCCTCTGAGCTGTTTGTGAGGTCCCTTCTCTTTGAGCACTTCTCCCCCTGACCTTTGCCTGCTGCTATCGCCAGCGCTTGGGTTTGGCAACTCCACCTCCTCATGCCCCATGCAACAAAGCCTTGATATTCTTCACCTGAAAATACAAGAACTTGTGTGATGGCATGTCTCTGAGCTGGCTGCTGAAAGGAAGTGCCAGGGCTGCATGGTGACTTTTAAAAGCCTCCAAGCTTTCTCCATGGCTGTGCTCCCCTCCACTCACCTGGGCCTGCAGCACATGTGCCCTGTGCAGGGAAGTGTCTGTACTTTAACCCTGCAGCTGGAAGGTGTGTGGGGTCAGGGTGATAAAATGCCAGGCTGGAGGGGAAGGATGGAGCTGGGGGTAGTTTTTGCAGGTGGCTGGGCTGGAGGCTGTGGCCGAGCATCCCTGGGCTATGCTGATGGCCCGACTAAGCTGGCCTGGCCCTGGGCAGGTGGGTTTGGATGCCGGAGAGAGCACGGCACACGCGCAAGGCCTTGTGCATGCTCGGGAGTTGCTTTCTGATGCAACCCCCTTCTCTACCAGTGCCTTCTCCCCTTGCACTGTCTGCTAGTGCCCAGAAATCAGCTGCAGACCTGCCGTCGTCTTGGGTCTGCTGGGTATATTTGCAGCTGCACCACACGAGTGTGTGCCGGTGCTGGGGATCCTTGGTGCAGGCAGGTGATCCCTGCCTGATCTTAATGGTCTGCGACCTGTGCACGCTTAGGTGTGCAGGGCCATATCCTGCTCCTGGCGCCGAGGTCACTGCAGTGCAGGATCGGGCCCAGCTCCAGGAGCACCTGCACCCTGGGA